GATACCAATAATAGATTAAAATGCACCTTTTAAGACAGGGATGCCCAAACTCTATCCTGGAGGGCCGGTGTCCTGCAAAGTTTAGTTCCAACCCAATCAGACACACCTGGGCTATCTAATCAAGCTTTTTAAAGGCTTTCTATAAACATCTATGCAGGTGTGTTGAGGCAAGTTGGAGCTAAAATCTAGTGGTGGGCAAAGCGAGGCTTCATGAAACACTGAAACAAACAGTCGAAGCAAATGTGTCGAAGCTTCGAAATGTTTTGAAACCCCACTCTACGGTGACCACCTAGTGGTCATTTTTATGTATTGCACTGAAACAGCTTCAGCAAGAACATTTTAGCAAATTGAGGTATTACACCCCACTTTGTAAAAGTATCTATTCAAGAGATTTAGTGGAGCGGTTAAGGTTTCTGACTTCCATGTGGGGATATTGAGTTTGAATCCAGGCTGATACGGCTTTTTTGAAATGCTTTAATACCAGTTGGTAATGCTTTGTTCTTGTTTCGTTTTGTTTCAACATTGGTCTGACATCCGAATAAACACTTTGTAAATAAATATGTCTTGTTTTGGTATTAAAACAGAGTTGTTGCTAGATCAGACACAGTTGTGGCCAGAAGGTATCAAGAATTATTTATATTATTTATTAAATTTCCCATTTATTGTATTTCATTAACGTCTATCCAAACCCTAAACCCAACCATCACAGTACTGTAAAAATATTTATTATTGTTTTAGTGTTACAAAAATGATGCTATATTGATGGCGTATCCTCAGCTTTAATCTATTTAGGCTACACCATAAAACAGAAACATGATTAAAATACATAAAACCATGATTTAGGTGTATTTGTACAAGTCGGGATTCAAACCCAAAAGTCATTGGAAGTATAAAAACAGCGTGTACAGGCACAGTCCACCAGGCCATATGAGACAGATTTTGAAACTGACGCCGGCAGTTACATCCAGATTCGCAAGGTCTCGAAACACTTCTTAACTGATTGTTGCTTTGAATCATTTTAGTCACGTGTCCAGGTGTTTTGAAACACTTTAGTCACGTGAATTGGGTGTTTCGGATCATGCTTCGGTGCAGTGTTTCGAAACACTTGTGCTTCGGGATCTCGAAACTGTGTCGAAACGTCAGTTTCACGTCAGCCATCCCTACTAAAATCTGCAGGACACCGGCTCTCCAGAACTGAGTTTGGGCACCCCTGCTTTAAGTTAACGGGTTAATCAGTTATTAGGAGTATCCCTAAAACTGATTTTATAAACAACTTAATTAATAAATGTTTTATGAATATTAAATAAAAATGAATATACCTTTTTTATTATTATTTTTCTTCATACTTTGATTTGGCTTTTTTGCTTCATATTAAATTTAGCAATTGTATTATTTGCACTACTGTTTTCATTTGTTATAATATAAAGTATAATTTTTTTATTTGCCTTTTTGATTTACTTTTATTTTAATAAATTATATATATTTTTTCTGTTCTGTTACTTGCTAAAGCAACATTTGTAATTTTCATTTAATACAAGTTTTTTCTTTATTATCAGATTTTTTAAATAGTTTTAGTATTTGATAATGGTAAAAACCCTGATTTGGAAAAGTATTTAGGTTTTACATTGAAACGCGTCTCTCTTCAAATGTTTTTAACACTCTAAAATGATTCAAATGTCAATTATAAAATAATTATATTATTACAAAAAATCTATAATAAAAATAAATATTATATTAGATTTTATTATTCTGTATCTAATCTGTACTGATTTAAGACCATCGCAGTACATTAATCGAGTAAAATTAGGCTTACCCTTACAATACTGAGACTACCCACCTAAAATAAATGGAAACTTTACTTCTAAAAAAAACTTGTCAAATATGATCTGCACATATTGCCAAATGTTTAGCCCATTTCATCTTTATCATCATGATGACTGACCAGACTGATCCCATTCTAGGCAGGAAATTATCTCATTGTGACCAGAATTGATGGAGTACACATCCCAGGGGTGATCAGTGTCAATGATGTGTATCATATGACTGAGATCTGCAACAGAAAAAAAAAACATGATTGTTGTTGCTGATATAATGCTTGATCATAAATAAACACCATTGTTCTATGTATTTTGGATCCAAAACGAATTGAAAATGTATGTTGTTTCTTGTCCTCCATTCATAACTCACCAACAGGAGTGGTAATATTGGTAATAAAGGCATTGTCCAGACCTTTGTCATCCTCCTCATTCTTCAGGTCAGTGGTGAAAGCGATGAGGTTTCTACATGACCAGGCGCACACCAGAGGGATTGAAGGACAGTGGTTGCTCTTGGGTCTCTTCTCCCACTCGCAAACATATGCGATATCCATCATATAATGAAGGAAACTTACTGTTTACAGCACAGATGCCCCAAATGAACACCTTTGAATGTGTTCACAATCACTACGGGAGACAACAAAAGCAAACACCGCTACTGTACAGAAACAGAAGAAAATGATGGGTATGGCAGACTCAAAACTACATGCTCCTGCTAATAAGTCCGAACATAAATTAATTTGTTAATAATATAAATTGTTCTGGCGTTTCAAATCTATTCTAATTCAGCAAATAGCACTTTGAAGCTGCACATCACATCATTGAGCGCCTGTATTCGTCGACTCTTTCCGGATTCAAAGACTCATCTAATACTTACCACCCCCTATTGGGCTGGAGCTCCGATCTATTTCTGTATTTGTCTATCTACGTTACTTTTGAAGCATAAAAGCGTTAACAAAAATGTTTACTCATGCATGGTTATGCATTATTTATTAACAAAAGGCTTTTTTGTTCCTATGCTTTTATGTATGTATGTATGTATGTATGTATGTATGTATGTATGTATGTATGTATGTATGTATGTATGTATGTATGTATGTATCTATGTATGTATGTATGTATGTATGTATGTACGCTATTTATATATTATTTTTCTCTTTTTTTATATAAACGTTTTATTTTTGTTTATACATTTTTATAATTTAATTTATATGTTTAAGTTAACCTTTTAAGTCTCTCTCTCTGTGTGTGTGTGTGTGTGTATGTGTGTGTGTGTGTGTGTGCGTGCGTGCGTGCGTGCGTGCGTGCGTGTGTGTGTGTGTGTGTGTGTCTCAGAAAGGGTTTGACGTACAGAGCTAATAATGTGCCAAAACAATCACAATTTGAATTGTATTCATTTGAATTATTAACAATTTTAATTTTAAAAATCAGATTTTTTTATGACATTAAAAATCTTTTAAATTTGATTTTCTTCATTTGAATTTGAATTTCATAACTTGAGTATTGAACATCTGAAATGCAAGAACTTTTCAAGCCTGATTTGTTTGTGTTCTGAGTTCATAGACTGTAGATATTAAGTTTGTGAAAATACAGTTTCAAATTTTCAAGATGAAGAAATTTAGAACATCCAAATCAATATCATAAAATTCAAAACCAGAAATTCAGATTGTGAAATTCAGGGCTGGAAATATATATATATATATATATATATATATATATATATATATATATATATATATATATATATATATATATATATATATATATATATATATGGTCTAAATAACGAATGTGAATGAACAATTCAGTGACAAAGAGAGATTTAGCGCCACCCATTGGACATTTTGATTTCAATGCATTTCAGTCAAAAAATAGCCTACTGTAATATTTTAACACAAAAAATCAAACGTTTGAGAATATGTCTATAAAAAATTCCGCCTTGAAAAATTCAGTTGTCTTACATTTCAATATTCAAGTTAGAAAATTCAAACTAAGAAATTCAAAACAATTTTTAACGGCATATAAAAATTCAGATTTATTAAATTACAATTGTCTAATTCAAATTAACACAATTCAAATTTAGATTGTTTTGCTTATTATTATTTCCATAATACGCACATCAAATGAAAACATGGCAATATTTACAGCTAACAGCTTATCATTTTTCAGTAAAGCAACTCATTCATTCATTTTCTTTTCAGCTTAGTCCCTTTATTAATATGGTGTTTGCCACAGCGGAATGAACCGCCAACTCATTCAGCATATGTTTTACGCAGCGGATGCCCTTCCAGCCGCAACCCATCCCTGGGAAAGTAAAGCTTAAATTCTGATTCAAAATCACAAATAATGACTTGAGGCGACATGGTGGCTCAGTGGTTAGCAGCACTGAGATCTCACAGCAAGAAGTTCACTGGTTCGAGTCCCTGTTGGTTCAGTTGGCATTTGTGTGTGGAGTTTGCATGTTATCCCCGGGTTTCCTTCAGGTGCTCCGGTTTCCGGTTTCAAAGAAGTGGTAGGTATAGGTGAATTGAATGTATGTGTGAATGAGACTGTATGGATGTTCCCCAGTACTGGATGGGTTGGTTGCAGCTGGAAAGATATTCTCTGTGTAGAACATATGCTGGATAAGTTGGCGGTTCATTCCGCTGTGGTGACCGCAGAGAAAATGAATAAAATAATGGCTTGTATTTGAAATTATTTGTACTAAACTTTCCAAACAGAATGAATACATTGAGCAAATATATTTGTAAATTATGTATAGTAAAAATTCAATTAAAACATTTGCAAACAAAGTTGAACTACAAATAATATTGTCTCTAATAAAATAGCAGAAATCTAAACAATCCTCATGAAAAATATGCTTATTTCGTATTTTGAGGTCATCCCCACCGCAATCAAGCGCTATGCATGTTTATCTTTACTTACTTCTACTGCGTGACTTGTACCATAGATGCTGTACTAAATAGCCTTTCCACTCTATTATGACGTGACGCAATAATAAATTAATACGATTTGGAGAAACCAGAAACAACAATAAACGCATGATATTTATGTTATATGTTTATATATTTATTTATTCGTTCATTCATTAATTTTGTTGTTGTGGAATCCTTTAGACTTTTGAGTAAAAAAAACAGATCCCTTGGCCAAATCACGTGACTTACCACGGAAGCAAAACCAGAGTGGAACTGCTTCCCTCATTAAAAGCTTCCTGACTGCTGCTCCCAAGTCCGCTCCGCTTCAGAAAATGGTTGTGTAAACAGATGATTCGTAAAACAGCTTACAGTTGCTGCCATCGGGTGGTTCTGGTGGGACATCATCAAGTATCTGATGTCTTGTTTTATTGAAGAGTGTCAGCGTTATGTGAGAAGGCGTTTGTCAAAAAGTAAACCGAACATACGGGTTCTTCACTGGAAGCTCGGCTAACTTGTTAGCTTGTGACTATTAGCAGACTACGCTATATGTGCTGTTTGAATTTTCATTCATTTTTAAAGTTCAGCTAGACTGTCTAGGTAAGATTTAACTTCCATACAAAATATTGTTATTTAGTCTAGTGTCTGAGGCATTAAATGAACGTGTTTGGTTGGGGTGACAGTGAATGCTGGAGGCCTGAGTCACAATTGCAAGACAAATTGGGTTTAAAACTAAATTTAACAGACTGACATGCACCTCTGGTCTGACAATATTTAAGCTGCATGTGCAGCAAATTTGTAAAAGCTCCAAAACTAGAGTAGTCTGTTAGCTCGCGAGAATATGACATGGTAGGAGTGGAAGGAGCCTTGCCCACCAACATCCCTACAACATTCAGCGTCTCCCGGGCTTTTGGTGCCGATACCTGAAGGTCAGTTCACCTTTTGAGAACCAGACCCATCATTAGTGTGAGCTGATGTTGTGTGCTCGGCCTGTTCATCTGGATCTTATCACATAGCTTTCTCCCTGACCTTAGTTGGTCCTTCTCCTTATCAAGTTACTGAACAATCATCACCATGTCTGACAACCAAGGCAATGTGAACAACAACAACGTTCCACTGAACAACAATAATAATGGTGGGCCAAACCGGATTCGTAACCCCCCAATGAACCAGAACCCCTTGATTAACGTGAGAGACAGACTCTTCCACGCATTATTCTTTAAGATGGCAGTCACATACGCCAGACTATTCCCACCATCTTTCAGACGAATATTTGAGTTCCTGGTCTTGTTAAAGGTGAGATTTTACATTTTCACTGAGTGTGTTGATCCTTCTTGAAATTTCTTTATTTTTTTAACCCTTCTTGTGTGCTGTTGGGCTGTTTTATCCTCTCTGGGGTGATTGTGAATGTTAATTAGACCACAACGTTCTCTTTGTTTCAGCAAATGGAATGATTTTTTGAGAAAATGCTTTTTAAACATTCTTTTTTAAACAAAAAAGAAGAGTTTGTTTTTTAAACAAACTCTTCTTAACAGATAAAACCATCAACAACCAAGAATGCATGATTATATGGTGTCATGGCTTTGTAATCAAAATGTCATTATAATGCAAGTCAATAGGGCAAAAGTAGCCTTGAATATAATGAAAGGGTTGGTAAATTTAAACTGTACACAAGGGTTGTATGCGTAGTTGTTTTCAACTGATGAGATGCAGTGACATGCTAAATAAACATCAGGATGGATATTACTAACCCATGGACTGACCTCTACATATATTGTACTATATTATTTCTCCTATAATTTTATATGCGAACAAAATTAACCAAATTAGCTCTCTTAAGCTCTGCGTACCTGGTACCGTGTCCGTGACATCATTTATTTCCGCATTCTTTATTTTTTAAAGGGCCGTACTGGCCCAATACCCCCAGAAGTGGTTCCGTTCTCCCATCAGTTGGAATAGAATAACTTTTACATAGATTATGATAGAGACATTTTTTCTGATTACTGACATGTGCAGGAACCACCAAAATTAATTACAGCAACCTAGACCACACAGAACCTAAGACTAAGTGGTACGGTTCAGTTCAGTACGCTTTTATGGCCGTTTCCACTGAATAGGTACCTAAAAGCAAACAATACCTTACCACTTTTTGGGGACTCTTTGCAAAGGGTACCTAGCATGGCAAAAAAAAGTACCAAAAGGTGAAGCAAGACATGCAGCTGAACGCTACTGATTTACAGAAAAGCGTCACTCGATCATAAGCAGAAGAATGAAAACAAAGACATTTTTAAATACACAGCCGAGACATTACATTGTAATACTATAATATATGCATATAATAATGTGCCATGGTTGACCCGAGCTCAGACAAACCTTGTTGTTGACTTGATGTACAGCCACAAAGCCAAGAAGGACAAAATCTGCCGTATCCTGTTTTTGTTTAATGCGAGAGTGAAGTGCGAAAAAACAAAGGATAAGGCCAAAAAACGAAAGAGCGAATCATTCTTTCACCAATTTAAAACATGAACAAACTGGCAGGTATAACCATTACCAGGTATAACTAAAACTTGCCTTGCCTATTATCATCACCTTTAGGACTATTATGAACTTCGAATGACGAAATTATTTTCTAACAGGAGGTCACATGTGCTGGTGAAGATTAAAGTTACAGATGGGAAATTTGCTCTGACTGTGGGCTACATGCTGCGTTTTTTAATTATTTTCAATAATTAAAAACTGACAACCGCAGTAATCAAACTCTTGGGAAAAACTGTGGACGGAACCAAAGTTCACTGGTCTGTGTTTTCTGAACTCCTCTTAAGCGGTGGACTACTTCATTCTGATTGCTTGCCGCCGAACCGCGTCATAGCTCATATCATATCGTTGACTTGATCTCAACTCTCCTCTATGCCCACACAGGAGAAGACACGCCGCGCTGTTCCTCGCCGCCGGTCCTCATTATAAATGAATTACTTCTGGCTACTTTGACGCACTCGCTGCTTTCGGTTAGCGATCGCTCCTCAGTTTGTGAAGGTTTCCCCGCGTTGTCGCTCCACCTCGCCCCCTTTCCCGCTCCTCAGCTTGTGATCGCTCCTCAGTTTATGAAGGCTTCCCCGCGTTGTCGCTCCACCCCGCCTTCCTTACTCGCTTCTCAATTTGTGATCACTTCCCCGCGTTGCCCCATCCCCCCCCTCCCCCCCCGCTACGCTATGCCACTGTTTAGACATTTCCCAGAGTGAGAATGACGTTGACTAAAACATTCTGTCGAACACCACACCCACCAAAAGGTCACCCTTGGTACCTTGGAAACGCAAGCCTTATAAAGGTAACTTTGTACTGACCCATACCGTACTGTACCAGTTAGTAGAAATGGGCCAAAAAAGGTACACATTCAAAAAATAAATTCACATAGACAGGATAACATTACATTGAAACGTCTGTTTATATTTTCCAATACAACTAAACACAGAGTTATGGGATCTGAAAAATATCAATCTGTCAACTTTTTTATTTTTTATATCAAATGAACAAAAAAGTTTACAACATACTTTGTATGGTTGGGCTGATAGACAACACGATGCTGAGCTGGCATCGCCGATCCTCTGCTCGGCCCCTGTCGCAAACATGCTCGCGAAGAATACACATCTAGGCCCTGTTTACACTAATACGTCTTTGTATTAAAATGGCATTTTAGAACGAAGATGATCCACATCCACACCGTGTTTTACCTAGTACTTCTGAACAGCCCTCCGTCTGCTGAAAAGAGCAGTGCACAGTGGACAGTTTATCAAGGATGTACCGCTGGATCGCGTCTCACTATAGTTGTTGAAGTGTTATTTAATTAAACTTGTCTCTATCTAACAACTCTTCGGTCTTTTGAATCTATCAGATAACGTGTCACAGCACTGCTTCAGTCTTTCACTTTCACACTTGTACTTGGTTATTTTAATGAAAACCTCAGATACTATTGGTTGTACACCTTTTTTACCGACCAACCCTCCGCAGAAAAAGTGATTAACAGGTGGTAATTTGTGTGCAACTTATTTTTATTTATGATTTGTTTATGGGTAAAACAAAGACCATGTGGCTCAGGTAGTTGAAACGGCAGGCTACAAATAATTAATTAGTTATGAATTAATTAATGGCGAGGCAGTGGCGCAGTAGGTAGTGCTGTCGCCTCACAGCAAGAAGGTCGCTGGGTTGCTGGTTCCAACCTCGGCTCAGTTGACGCTTCTGTGTAGAGTTTGCATTTTCTCCCTGCCACCGCGTGAGTTTCCTCCGGGTGCTCTGGTTTCCCCCACAGTCCAAAGACATGCGATACAGGTGAATTGGGTAAGCTAAATTGTCCGTAGTGTGAGTATGTGTGTTAATGTGGGTGTGGATGTTTCCCAGAGATGGGTTGCGGCTGGAAGGGCATCCGCTGCGTAAAAACTAGCTGGATAGGTTGGCGGTTCATTTTGCTGGGGCGACCCCGGATAAATAAAGGGACTAAGCCGACAAGAAAATAAAATGAAATTAAATGAATGAATTAATTAATAATTCATAAATAATTAATTCACCTCCGCCTATGATGACGATGCTCATCGGGATGTTTCACATTAGAAATTGGTCGACATCGCCCAACCCTAATACTTTGTAGAAATTCTTTGAATTAAACGGACCAATTCAAAAGTAAGAATGCTAATCAAACGGATAAGAGTTGGCTCTCTAAAGAACAAAAATGACAGATTTTGTTTTATTTTACATTTTTGCATTCATGTGGAAAAATTTATGTTATGCATGTGACAGAAATTGCCACTTGTGTGACTTTGGTGAAAACAGTTGTACTATCATTTTAATTTATTCTAATTATTATTATTTTTTGGAAACTGAGATTTAAAAAAAAGAAACATTAATTTGAAATGGAGGTTTTTTCAAACATTAAAATTTCATTGCACAACTCAAGTTGAGCTTTATTGTAATTCCGATACATGTGAGGATAAAAATAAATGTGAACATAAATAAACATAAAAACAACACTGGGTGTAAGAGCTGTTTTAAAGCTATACATAACTAACATATGTACATAACAAAACGCGTAACCTAAGACAGCCTATACAGGTAGATTTACATTAGACATAACAATAGATCCTTTGATGCTCCTAAACATTTGAACAAAAAACAAATGTAAAATATTTACTTATTTATCATTTTGAAATGAGAAAAAAAAATGAAATGCAAAATATTTGCTTATTTATAGGGCTGTAACGATACACCAAACCCAGGATTCGGTTCGTATCACGATTTTTGACCCACGATTCGGTTCGTATCACGATTTTTTTTTTTTCGTGTGGGGTGGAAAAAAAAAAGATTTTTAAAACTATTTTTTATTAAATAACATTTGAAATATTTTTATAAACAAAACATCAAAGAACAATATTAACTATGCAAATTATTAACAATATAAATAGCCATATATAAAATAAATAAATAGCCAAAGCTATATCACTTTTGTTTTCTTTGTAACAAAATACTGTTGAAAAACCAAACAGAACTAAACTCCATTGTGTAGATGGTTCAAGCATGTTGAAAATTATTTTTCAATCAAGTTCTCTTACATAGAAAAAGTAAATTAAATGGCTACTAGGGATGCTCATTTCGGTTAATTTTGCTAACTGACAACCGCCGCTCATTAATCGGTTATTACAACACAATCTCACGGCAATTCGTAACTTTTTCATTTAGTGGCTAATTCGTATGAATTCGTACGATCTAATTCGTACAATTTAGTACGATTTGCTTATCCCCCAATGACGGTTGGGGTTAGGGGTGGGGTCAGGTGCCACGCCTCCTTTTTAAAATCATACCATTTCGTACGACTGAACTCGTACGAATTCGTACGAATTAGCCACTAAACTGGCAAAACGTAAAATACTTACGTTTTCTCGTGAGATCAGGCTGGGTTATTAACGGTTAACTGGTCAGATTATTATTAATTTTATATTAAACAAATTGACGTGTCTATTTTGTGTCTGACACATTAAATATTGCATTTTAAAATAGGCTACTGATTTATTTTTAAATGCTAGCATATTAATAATAGAACATAACAACGGAGCATCTTCATGCACCTGCAGTGTTTAGCACAGAAGAGCAGAATAATCTAAATAAAATAAATAGGACTGCCTAAAATTATTTTCATTTAAATAATTAATTTATATTACAAAACGAAAATACTGACTGATTCTTTTTAACAACCGGTATAGGCTGTTTTTTTGCAATCATGTTTTTTTCTTCCGTCAAATAAATATCGCAGACTTCCTCAAATTGCCCGCTCCATGGAAAATATGCATTTATTTAATGCCCCGCTGTTATTATTATAATAACAAAACCTTTTACATTTTTTAATAGAAATCATTATTTTAAAGAATATGTCCTGATGGTTTCCTCTCTCTCCCTCGTGGTTCAAGTGCGCGTGCTGCGTGATGAAAAGACAACACCAACGCGCGCATATGTAGACTTTTTGTAAACAGTTTTGTTGTTTAAATATGCTATTGCATTAATGTGCATACATGCTTTATAAGCCGAAAATAAGGCGCACCTCACTGCCTTTATGTTGACAAGGAAAAAAGAAGAGAAGAAGCGCGGTCCTCTTATGAAACGACTGAATCAGCTGGGTATCGATTGTGCATAAGTGTTGGTGTCTGTGTTGTTACAATTGTAATATTTAATACTATTGTGATATTCAAGATTTGCACATTCATACAGCTATGGATAACTTAAAACAGCGATTAGACCTTCAGAGCGGCATTAATGCGTCCTGAAGTAAAGCGAAACTGCTATAAACTCCAGCAAGATAGAGTGATTATATGAGGACCCATATACCTTTATCTCTAAATAAAGTATAACTATAGAAACGGTGTTCGTCTTAACTGAAAGCTTCGTCCTGTTTCCTGGCCTCACGCATCGCGCACCTGTCAGTCAGCACATAACGTTAACTCCCAAAGGGTTAAACAGAAAGCGCAGAGCACGGTTACAGAAAAGTTTTCTCTGCAGAGGAGTCAGGGCATCTGGTGAACGCCCATCCCTTTCTGCGCAGCCACATTAACAACAATGCTTTGACAGCATTGGCAATGTTTCTGCCGTTGTCTGTTGTCAAGCGGGGTTAAGTTGGTTTTGTTTTTGATATTCCTGACACATTCAGACGGTCCCTTAAGAGCTCCGTGCGAGCTCTCCCGGCTAAACCCTTATTGCGAGGGCTTAAACGGAGCATTGCTCGTAATGTCGAGCAGAAAAAAAGTGTTTCCTCACGTTCTTCTTCAACTAGCTCAACTTTTGCAGGTACGCGTGACGTTATTGGAAAGGTAGTCACGGGGAGTGTCGCGATTCTCCCTTATCACACCGCGACACAGGATCGTAGATCTGAGTGTCGCGATTTCGATTTTATATCGTGTATCGTTACAGCCCTACTTATTTACAATTTTATTTCCCTTAAATATTTAATGTCCGATAACAAGGCTGAGATCAGACTTTGGAACTGACACAAGGTGCCTCGACAAGGTTAGCTTTCATGTTAATGAAAACATGACATCAGGTTAATGTCATGGTTATCAGCCATGATACATATATATAACAGTATATACAGATATAACAGTTATTAGCTAATTAATCAGCTTGAACTGTCATAACACTACTGTAACGTGTACGCACAAGAAGAAATGCATACAGATGTGTTTGACAATTGACATGCTTCAAGAAATACCTGTTAAGTTGGTTGAGGCAGCATTTTAATTGTCTCTCGGTTAACCACAAGAATATTGTTGCAGCAATGATCTTGCCATGGAACAATTGCACAAGTTCTGTCTGTTTGTAGGGCTGGGGAATAGGGTATTTTGGAAGAGTTTGAAAGTGTTGCATTATCCAGCTAAAGGGTTGAGTTTGTAAATGTACCGAATAGGGCTGCACAATACATAATTTCAGCATCGATATCGTGGTCATTCGCAATTGTCTCATCGCAGGATATGCAAGTCGAGTTTGTGTTATTTGATTATTTACATGTGTTTTTGATGCATTTGTATAATGATTTTAAAAAGTATCAGCTATAAGAAATTGTACCACTGGTGTCCTTAACTATGATTAAGTTTATTGAATTATTTTATTTTTATCATTGAGTTACTGTACCTTAATACTGTTAGAATCAGGAAACCATAAAGCACTTTATTTCAATTGTATCTTTTTTGTATTTATAAATTGTTACACATGAAAATACTGACAACAAATTCGGAAATGCACTGCAAATAGCAAAGACCACAATGCAAATGTGTTGAGGAACCTTGAAAGGTTTATATATAGTTTATTAGATTTTATGGAGATGCAAATAGTAAACATTAATTCACCAATCCCTGACTAAATATGTGCATTAAAATACTCACAACATAAGCAAATAGAGAAGCGCACTGCAAGTAGCACAGACAACAATGAAAAAGCGTCAGGGTCCAAAATTGTATAGATTGTTTATTAGATTTTTTTGGTCATGCACTCCCACTCCAGATTCATCCCAATCGAATTAACATTCTAAATTCTCATGAAGTCATATGGTAAAATTGTACTTTTATTGCAATATATATCGCAAAATAAAAAAAGAAATATGGCAATGTTAGATATTTCCTACATTGTGCAGTTCTAGTACTGAGCATTTTGTTTATATAAAGCATGATAAAAATTGTGGGATAAAAACACACTTTATTTCCAAAGGGCATTTTTCTTTTATTTTCACCAAATAAACATAAATAGCATTAGCATGAGAAATGTGATATATTTACCTAATCTCAAAATTGCTTTACCTGAAGTTCTAGCCCAATCAGAACTTTAACTAAATTATGCAAATTAAAAAATACAACTGGACAAAATTTAAAGATGTATACAGTTGAAGTCAGAATTAGCCCTCCTGAATTATTAGCCCCATGTATATTTTTTCACCCAATTACTGTTTAATGGAGAGAAGATTTTTTTCAATACTTTTCGAAACATAATACTTTTAGTTACTTATTTCTTATAACTAATTTCTGCAATTTTAAGGCTTAACTAGGTTAATTAGGCAAGTTAGGGCAATTAGGCAGGTCATTTTATAACAGTTTGTTTTATTCTGTTAACATTTGAAAAAAATAGCTTAAGAGGGCCAATAATAGATCTTAAAATGTTTAAAAAATAAAAACTGTTTCTAGCCAAAATAAGAGAATTAAAGGGCAACTACACTCTCAGAAATGAAGTTATGTGAGCTGTCACTGTGGTGGTACCTTTTCAAAAGGTACAAATTAGTACCTAAAAGTAGTGGTGGGCAAAGCAGGGCTTCATAAAACACTGAAACAGTCGAAGCAAATGTGTCGAAGCTTCAAAACGCTTCGAAACCCCACTCCAGTCTCCTAAAAGCTCAAATTTCCTAGATTCAGAAAGGTATATTTAAAATAATCTGATGGGTGTTTTTAGCTGAAACTTTACAGACATACTGGAGACACAAAAGACTCATCTTAAATCTTTAAAAAGGGGGTAAAATAGGTGCCTTTTAAGACCCTATAAGAAAAAAAATATTATAGGAAATACCATGAAAATGTCCTTGCCCTGTTTAACATGCTTTAGAAAATAAATAAAAAAAAGAAACAAAAATCACATGAGGGCCAATAATTTTGACTTCAACTGTATATTTATATCATGCTGTATACTAATGTTTAAACACATTGTTGCCTAAACTGGTTTATGCACATTCACTTTAATTTCATGTCTTTTGATAGGCACTGTTTATGCTCTTCATCCTGGCCTACATCCACATTGCCTTCTCGCGCTCTCCAATAAACTGCCTGGAGCATGTGCGGGAGAAATGGCCCCGCGACGGCATCCTGCGTGTGGAGATCCAGCGCAACTCCAGCCGTGCTCCTATCTTTCTGCAATTTTACGAGACTGAGGGTATCCAGGGACTCGTGAAGGAACCAGAGGAGGATGGACATGAAAACAGACAGCCAGTGGTGCCAACAGATGCTGAAGAGGAGGAAGAGATGACTATGGACATGTTTGACAACAGCACAGTACGAGTGAGTTTATTACATGGTTATTTTTGAACTGACTAGAACTGAACCTGCATTCTATTACTATACTGCTACTCTAAGGGGCCAATCACACCCAACGTGCTTTTTGTGTTGAGAGGCACCTTTTTTTAATTATTTACCAATGGCCGTAATTGTTTTGTGCACTGCTTATGAACCTTGCATGCCTTGCTGTTCAACCGCCTGCTGCGCCTCGCGTTTTCGCCATTGCATACTGTGCGCTCGCAGTTTAATAAAAAAAAAATTTTAAACTCTAAAAATTAAACTCTGCACGGAAAAAGCATATTTCGTCAGTCGCGTCTTTTTCATTCTCCAATCGAATGAAAGAAAGTTTTCGTTGAGGTGCCTTCAGTGTTTGGGTTGCCAAGATTACTATGGAGAATTTTGAAGATGGAGGAGAGTCTTGTGGTTGCTGTTTTAAGTTATCCGTTGCTGTATGACTCACAAATCTTGAATATCATTATATTATTAAATATTAAAATTATACCAATATCAATAGCAACACTCTTGCACAATACACAGCTGATTCAGTCGTTGCCTAGCAATATAAAAAGCACACCGCACTTAAAAAAAAGGCAGTGTACTACGACTTGCATTTTCCGAACGTTAAAGTCCTTTCAGTGTGACAGCCACTAATTCATATATTGAATATGTTCTAAAATAATAACATTTTTACTTTTATTACTTGTTTAGTTCTTGTAAAACAACTTTGTCATAATCTGCGTTGTATGAAGTGCTATAGAAATAAAGGAGATTGGACTTGACACAGGAACAGCAAAAATGGATTAAGAGCAGCACATTAAATGGATAATTAACTTGAATATTACCCTATCATTCCAACTATAATTATGTAATTAAATGGTCTGTAATAGAGGCTCAAGGGCTCGTAATGAACTTTTACTTGGTAGCATAATGTTCCCAACTTTCAAAATGTAATAGAACCTGTAAAAATTTAGGAGCAACCACTAAAAATGAATGAGCACCACTATTACAAACCATATATTTATTGTATTTGAAAACAACACCATTCAGGACTAAAAACCAGCAACAATTATCAGCTAATTAGCATTAACTAATGCTGCAATGACTTTTTGTTATTAGCATAATAATTAAAAGAATTATTGTCCAATAAGCAATCATGATGATATATTATAATCTATGTATATGATATTGATACATTAAATTTCTCTCTATCTTCTGAAAAAATAAAATGATGAGCACAAAATGTAGCTTTGCAGTAACAAATATACATTTTTATTTTTATAGCCATATCAATTTAATAAACAAAAACATTTTCTGCTTCAAAACATTCAAGATTGTAAAAAATATAATTCAAAACTGAAAGATGTAAAGTAGTCACCAGTAACTAAATGGAAAATCTATATGCATCTACAATTCTTTATAAGTTTTGATTCCAGTTTGTGTCCATGGCAATGACCGGGGCACATACTACAGGCTCTATTGATTTGAGAAAGAGACCACAATGAGCAAAACCACTCTTTTTCATGTGCTGCAGTATGTTTAATTTTAGTAAAGGCCAGCTTCTTTAGCACAATGCAGTGCATC